CAAAGTAGACCAGAAGCGGGGTGTTTTATTTTGAAAATTGTCAGGATGCTCTTTGCCATTCCTGTGTCTGAATTCCTGTTTTCCTCATCTGTTCTGACAGAGAGATGACAGTGATCTGACCTTTTGAGCAATTGAGTAAATGCTTAGAATTCTTTCTTTAATCGGTGAAATAGCTCTGTAGACCAAGTTTGTGCACCTCGTGACAAAGATTGGTTGTTAGTGACAGTAAATATAAATCCTTAAGCCATTAAGGATGTTACGCATTTTAATGAACTGTAGCAAAGGGACAAAATAGTAAAAAATGGTAGTAACATCTGCTGGTATGCTATATTTGTTTTTTTTAAATACATTTACTTTTAAATTCAATCTTCTTAAAGTTCAGGATTTTGCTTGTCTTTTATCTGTGTTTTGGTAAAATTGTCATTTATAAAGTTTATGCAGGGCATAACTTATAATATATTGAAGAGACTTTAGAATAAATATTTGTGAAATATTTGTCTATATTTTTCACATTCAGTGTAGGAAAAAGTCTGGTGTGTGTCTGTAGGCAACAACAACACATGAAAAACCAAATGACTGGTGGTGAGATCACCGCTTGGAGAGGTTCATTTGCATAATGAGAAAAAAAACATACCCAAACACTGAAAGACAGCCAATTTTCTTTCCACTAAAAGCAGCGGACAGGTGAAAGTAGACCTCACCCCATCACAAATTGATCTAAAGAGGGGGAAAAAAATCCCTGCTCACCAATGTGTCTTTTCAGACAATGTGGAAATCCCTCATTACCTCCCCCCACCAAAAAAAAAGGGGGGGGGGGAGAAAATTGAAAAGCCCAAACCCCGTCCTGTACTTTACGGATTGTGAATAGAGTGCCCTGCAGCCTGCCTGCCTGCCCCACATACGGCGTTTGAATACAAAAGACCCCCTTCTGTAAGAGCAATCACTCTGGGAGGCCACTCTATCTGCACCGCTGCAGAGACGGGCCTCAATGAAGCCATCAGCACAGGCTCTCTTGTCACACAATCTCACATGCGCATGCACTCGCAAACACAAAGAACGGACACGTCGCATGTAACCATTTATTCCTTTGCGTGCGCATGCACAGACCCGTTGCCAAACTCTCATGGGTAATGCATTCTTTTCATCCTCCGGTGCCGGGCAGGAGCAGGGAGGGAGATGAGTGGTTGGCGCTGATTTGAATATTTAAATTATTTATCACCGCAGAGTTTTGAGACCCAAGACATGGAGAGGGACACAAGGGAGCTGGGTGAGACGGAATCAAGCCATGTATGGATTTCATGGTGTGCTAACTAAGCGCCCGAAGGGACAGGAAGCGTGAGCAGAGTTGCAGATTTTCACGGACAAAATATTTATTCTGCTTCAGTAAATAGCCAACATCTTTTAGGAGTGTTTTGGGATAAGCATAGAATGAGTTGTAATGTGAGATTACTTTAAAGACTTGAATTTTGATAAACGTGGGATACATTTATTTTTCTTGTATCCTCAGTCCTCGCTGTCCTCATGCTCCACGCTATGCTGGGACTGTAAATCATTTCTAAAATAACAGCTCAATGTGGAACTACAGTAAAAAAGGAAGAGGCTTTGTAAACTGCATGATGTAATGCACCGCCTCCTTAGAAATATTATATGCTTTAAGTGAGAGCCTGAGAAATACACAATGCTTTTCCCTGACAGAACAATCTTGGGAAATGCAGGAATTTACTACAGCTCACGCGATGACAGGATTGAAGGCTTAAAGGAAAAAAACATTTAAATTCATTCCTTCAGCAGTTATTGTTTTGAGACTGGATCTGTAGGCTAATGGGTTGACTTTTTTCCCTCTCTCTTTGCTGTCTTAGTTATTCTTTTATCTTGTCTTCTATTACAGGCTGACAGCTCGGTCTCTTTCTCCCTGTCTTTTTCTCCCCTGTCCTCTTTTTTTTTTTTTATAAGCTCAACTCTGAGTTACAGTCTGTAGACAAAGGAAGTCCCCAACTGGCCTCCTTTTGCTGTTCCTTTCCTTCCCGAGTGTGCCATGCACAAACACAGAAACATTGCAAAAGATGATCAAACCCAGACAGAGAGAAAGCGGGGGATACTACTGGGTCAGTGTTAAAATCCTGGAAACGCAAAGCTTTTGCAATCAACCTCACATAACACAAGCTTCTCCTAGCGATATTAAAATAATATATTCAGCCTGGTTTAAAAAAAAAAAAAAAAAAAAAAGCAGCATTGTCCTCAGAGGATAAGAAAAGCTGGAATGAATCTGCTTGTTGTCATCACCCAGCTGCTTTTAATTGGCAAGTCAGCCCTGAGATCAGTAGATCTGGCTATCTTTTGGTTTTCTCTATGTTATAAATTAAACACAGTTTACTCTTTATTTCCTGTTCCAACAATTAGTGGCATATTTCTTGTATTGTGGGCTTCTCTGTTTTTCTACATCCACTATAATTTGATCTACAGTAATATTTTCTTTGTCTGCTCCAGTCACCTCATAGGTACTCATTAGGCTGCATTCTCGACAGCATGCAACCCTTCTTTGAAAACCACACTGCCTCAGTGATACTTGACATTGCATCAAATTACTATCCATCAAACACTCGGCAGATTTTTCAGTGCAGACACTGGTGTTCTGGTGTTTTCAGTCCCCTTTTCTTTTATTCGGTGCATCAGTCCTGCTTTTCAAATGCTGCACTTATTTTCATGGCTTAGCTGGCTGTAGGTAATTTTGGTTCATTGTTGTAAATGCAATATCTCTTCCATGTGATGATGGAATGCCTTTAGATTTGGCACTTGAACCCAAGGATGAAGTGATGAAAGGTCAAAGTCATCTTGAGTGGGTGTAGGGTGTGGGCCCCGGCACACGCTGGTTACAGGCCTGGGTTGCGTCAGAAGGGACATTGAGCATAAAATCAATGCTAAATCATAAATGCGAGCCATCAATTACACATCCATGCCAGATCAGTTAACAACAACCGCCTTTGGTACAGCTGATCAGTAGGATGCCAGTGGAGCGGAAACTGTGCTCCGAAGACAGGAGGAGGAGGATCATGGGTAGGTGTTGTCAGAGGTAATAGGTAAAAACAAATAAAGGCCTTTAAATGTAGGGACTGAAGCTGTGAATATGGAAGGACTAGAAGTATTGATGAGGTGGATGAGTTTAAATACCTGGTTTCAACCATTCAAGTCAATGGAATGTGCACAGGAAAGGTGAAGAAGAGAGTGGAGGCAGGGTGGAGTGGATGGAGACAAGTGTGATTTGTGACAGAAGAATGGTAGCAAGAGTAAAGGGGAAGGTTTACAAGCTGGAGGTGGCAGAGTTAAAGATTTATGATCATTGGGAGTGACCAGGAGGGACAGGATTAGAAATGTATGAGAGGAACGGCTCAGGTTGAGCAGTTTGGAGGCAAAATTGGAGAGGCAAGCTTGTGATGGTTTGGAAAGGTGCAGAGGAAGGATAGTGGATATATTAGACAAAGGATGGTAAAAATGGAGCTCCCAAGGAGGAGGAAAAGAGGAAAGTCACACAGAAGGTGTTAGGATGTAGTGAGCACGTGAAAGAACAAGGACATGTTTTTTTTGGGTTTTTTTGTCTTCAGTGGTGACATTTTATATTGCACAATTTGAAGAACAAGTCTTGACAGAAATTGATATAAATTATATGTTGAATGGTTGCTGTATGCATGCAGCTGTGAAGCAAGAATAATTGTTATCTGACACGGCTGTTCATGGTGGGAAAGCAAATGCTGCAAAAACAACCTGGATATGCATCGCTGCTTTCCACGAAAAGAGGGCTTCTCTCGCTTTACCCAGGAATTTCAGATACTGCCTATTTTAGTCAATGGGAAAATAACTCAATTTTGCACAGATCTGGTGAAAATGCAGTTTTATAAGCTTGAATTATATATAAAAAAAGTTAACTACCTGATTTATTGGGCAAATCACATTTTTAGGACTGACTGGTGCGTTGTCATTTAAAAGATTGATTGAATTTCTGTATCTGCATTGGTTGCTGTGGTAACTGATGGAGGAATCTGTGTGTTTGTGTGTGTGTGTGTGGCTAAGTTGGTGACTTTGTAGTCATGATAACAATATTACTGACTTATCGCAGAGAGCAGACCACAGTGACAAATGATTTCTTGGAAATTTAGTGATTACAGAAAAAAGTAAATAAAAATTTAAGAAGACATTCAGTGACTGTAATCATTTGACTGACTAAAGTTTGTTAAAGGTCAGTTTGTTCAAGTAAGTGTCTGGAGATGTTTTGTGACAACGCAGACTTGTATTAAAGTGTATGGAAAATGTAAATTTCACTGCAGTTTCCCCTCTGTTACTGATTCCTTTGTCTTTATTTTGTGATCTCACTTTTCTCTTGGCAAACACTTATAAATATGTGGAATATCTACGCAAGCTTTTTCTTTCACTCACCTAGCTTCGAGTTGTTGTTGTTGTAGCAGCGATCCCATTCATCAGTCTCTGCTGTGATCTTCATTTGTTGCAGTCTGTGACTGTACACGAATGCAGCTCATGTCCCACAGTAATGAGACGCTAATTACGAGAATCCGCAGAACCTCGGGGGTGTTATACCACCTGTCTGTGTGTGTGTTTGCAGGTACATGTGACATATGCGCATGCTGTGTGTGTGAGAGCTCAGCAGCGTGCACATGTCTCTGTGTTTAATCAAATACTCTGTGGTGTTCTCATTGCATTTGTATTAAGTTTCACTTATGAGTGCATGATTAGCAAGATAGAAAACTTGGTATTCCAATTGACTCCTATCTCTGTGTACACAATTCAGATGGATGCCACGTAAGGGCTTCTGCAAAGAAATTCTTTATTAATACACGCAGTTGAAAACTTCTGTTGACCTTAAAGTTGCTTTAATCTAATATTTTAAACTGACTACATGCATACTTGTATGTTGAAAATGGTGGCTCATAGCACAAAATATCAATATTAAATCAAAAAACGCTTCTGACCTATTCCTTTTGTTCTTTCAGCCGAGCCATCAAGACCAACCAGGACCTTCTCCCTGAGACTCCCTGGACCAACATCCTGTATGACGACTTCTGGGGCACTTTGCTCACTCACAGTGGCAGCCACAAGTCTTTCCGTCCACTCTGCACCTTCTCCTTCCGCCTCAACTACTCCCTGCACGGCCTCAACCCATGGGGCTACCACTTACTGAATGTGGTGCTGCACGGCCTGGTCACAGCCCTTGTCACAGCCTTCAGCCGGCCGCTGCTGGGTGGGGGATTGTGGAGCCTTTTGGCAGGCCTTCTTTTTGCCTCCCACCCGATTCACACTGAAGCAGTCGCTGGTGTGGTGGGAAGGGCGGACGTTGGTGCCGCTTTGTTTTTCTTGCTGTCTCTTCTCTGCTATGTGAGACACTGTGGACTCCGACCGGTGCCACATGGGGCCTTCCAGAACAGGCGATGTGGTGAAGGCTCTGTCATCAGGTGCTGGGGCTGGATGCTGGGTAGCCTGTGGTTTGCAGCAGCCAGCATGCTTTGGAAGGAGCAGGGGGTGACGGTGCTGGCTGTGTCAGCTGTGTATGACCTCTTCGTGTTCCAGAGGCTCCGGTTTCGCCAGGCACTTCTTCACCTATTAGGAAAGGTAAATGAATTCTTGCCGCCGGCGGTAAATGTCTGTGTATTTTCACTGGCTCTTGTTTTGGCATCTCTGCGCACCCCAATTTCCTCCCCTTAGAGGTGAGCCTCAGCCTGCTAGCTGTTAATGGTTCCTGGATTAGGTTTTGTGTGTGTATTTAACAAGGTTTTGTTTGTGTGTGAATTGTGTGTTTGCCTTTCATTAGTGGTGTAATTAGGAAAGCTGTTTGCTTATGCAGACTCCGTAGTTGCTGCATGAAAAATAAGCTTTCCTCATTCGCCTGCTAAACAGGAAGATTGGAAGTTTTTCACTTCCTTACAATGCTGCCACCACCTTCAATTTGCTGCAGTAAATGGATACACATTCATGCAAGGAAATCTAAATTAGGATCTCGGACTCATATGCGTGGATACATGTGCATTTGAGGAAACGGGGCTTGGACAGGAAAAAGCTATTTCAGGGGTGAGTTGATTTCTCATTTGAAGGTGACAAAAGGTATGTGCAGAGAACAGCACATCCTTCTCAGGTGCATTTGGTTATACACACAGTTAATACACAGATGTACACACACAAAGATAACATGTGCTTCCTCTGCAGGGAAACCCGGCATGGCTCAAGTTATTTAAGGAAGACAACCTTGACGTGGTGACTCATCTGATTATGGGAAAGAGTGTGTGACTCCACACTCCTCATTTGATTAGAGAAGCTGCTCTTCAGCCAACATGATGGCCCTTGTAAAATGCATAACTAGTGTAATAAAAAGTCCCCTTGGGTTTACTGTGCAAGGACAGTCTCACTCTAAATGTGCATGTGTCTGCATGAGGATCTGTTTATAGTGATCTCTTCTTGTGGAAACCTCTATAAATACCTATGTTTGCTTGAAGGTTTCTGATGCAACCTTGTACAGATCATCTCAAATGTCCTGTGGCACTCTCTGTTATGTATAGAGTGTCAGCACATTCGTGTCTTCTTTATGCTGCCAGCATTCCAACGAAAACACGTTCTTTACCATCTTCTTCAGGAGTTGTTTTTGGCAGAATAAATAACCATGACTGTTATAAGAAGTTTGCAGTCAGTGGCCCAGAGAGATCAGAGACCAGTGAAGTCACAGTCTGTTTCTTTACTATGTTCTTGGCATGAGAACCTGGAATTATATGTGCTTTCACAGCCAGTAGACCATAGTAGATACAAAAAAACACCTGCCTTTCAAATTGTACTCAGTCATCTAGTATAACAAGAAGTGAAAGACCATCATATGCAAATCATTATACAAATAATTCAGTATTTGCATATGCTGATGGAGGAAAAAAATAGCCGTAATACAAGCCAAGATACATGAGTGAAAAAGAAAAAACCTGGTTTTAAAGGGGTTTGTGCAACATTGCCTTTAGAGAGTGTGAAAAATGATCTTTTACATTCTACAGAAAACATATTTTATCACTTTTTTTGTTCCAGACTACAATATTTCACTTTGTATGAAATGAAAACAATGTAAGAACCAAATGGGAAGTTTAGATTATATTTATGTACATAAATTGCCATATGTAGCCATTTTTACAAGATAAAGACTTTTTAAAAATGCTCATGTGTAAATGGACTGTAGTGTAATTTGAAAATTTGGAGGACTAAGAGTTGCTGGAAAAATCCAGTTGTTAAGAACAAAAGACAAAAACACATATACAAAGATTAGCTTGGTTGTGCTATATGGACTGCTTAGCAATTTGTTCACATCAATAGGTAAGCTAGGTAAATTAGGTAACGTAAGCTAATTTCATCTACTGAAGCTAATCTATCCAAGAAGTGAAAATATCCCAGAGAAGCTACAAAGCAGGACATACGTGGGTCAGCATTGGGTCAATCGAAAACCAGCCTAAGCTGTACTTGTTTTGGCTGATGTTAACCAAACATAGGTTATATAAAAGATGCCCTGCAGCTAGAAGTGTTACACGTTATGTGGATGAAGACTGGTGGAATTTCTGGTAGAAAGGGTGAAACATTTATTCAGGCTAGCTTTAGGTCCTCTGAAAAGACGAAACGCAAAGTCCAAAACAGGAACTGAAAACTGTAAAAATTGAAACATAAGGCTAGGAAAAACACTGGGACAAGATCACAGTTACTCTGAAAAATGACTAAAGGGAGGACAGGAATACCCACACGCACAAAAGGGCAAAAGTCGAGACAGCCGAGTGGAACGAGACACAGCTGAACAGAATCACAGAAGATAATACAAAGTAAGCTAAACTAAAAGCAATTTACATGGAGCAACTAACTATCAACAAAAGCAGGGAAACAAAACAGGGAAAATACAGACACACGAGTGAAGCAAAGACAGGAGACTTAGTGACACAAAACAGTCAAACACCAAGGGAGGAATTAAACTCTAAACCAACTCAGAAAAGAACTAATATACTAAGAAAGAATTCCACAAAGCAACCATGACATTAAACAAACCACTGTGTGTATTTCAAAGCTATCCGCTAATGCTATCAACCTTGGTGAAAGCAGTATTCATAAATTGTACTTGCTAATTAATGCTTGATAAAAGACTTAAAAAACCAGTGTCCTAAAATTGAAACCCATACTTCTCGGTCACTCTGCGCTATATTAGTTGTCAGTTAGCACCACATTCTTTGTGCCATAAACGCTGACTTGTTTTTGGAGTCAGCCTCAAGTGGAAAATGGTACTGCAGGACTTGGCGTTTGTGTGTTGGCTTTTTTTAAGCCCTAGAGGTTGCTGCATGTATCCATTTCTAACTTTGAATTTGCGAATTTGCGAGCCATCTAATGCTGTATACAGTCTTGATTGGACACTTTCGGCTTATTCACAGAAAGCTTCCAGGGCTGACTTGAGAGTTTAATGTTATTTCAGCCTGTCGCAACCTGTCTCATAGCTTCACAGACAGAATTATGGAAAGTCAGATTTTATTGTGTGTTTATCAAGCTGTGTAGCAGAGATATTAACAGCAACCTGCACCTCTTTGCCCACACACAATAACCCTGGCCAGCATTCTTGTGCCAGCCCATCAGGTCGGTGCCAACCCCCCAGCAACTCCTGTTGCTGCCGGCACATCTGGCTCATTTATCAATCTGGCAATGCCCTTGTCTGCTGGACTAGTCACAGTTATCTTGGCAAAGAGCTCTTTACGTGCTGGGGCCAGCCGTGGGGGCAATCATTTCCTCCATTATGAGCCAGACGTCTCGGGACGCATGGGAAAACAAGGGAGATGGATAAAGTGAGAGAAAGAGCAAGCGAGGGAGAAGGAAACTATGCTCTCACTTCCTTTCCTTTATCTATTCTTGTTTTTTCTTGCCCACGGTGCCCTTAAAGCACTTTGGGAATGGGGGGCTCTCCTGTTGCCACTGAGGCTTAATCAGTTGCTATTGAATTGGATAGTATCTTAGGTGGAGAGACTGCAAAGACGTGCCTCAGAGAACAATGGTGCATATTGTGATTTTGTCTGAATACACGTTTTCATGCTTTCTTCCAAATGAAGTTGAATAATACAAAAGCATCAACATCAAATCACCTGAATGAGCTGCCTCGCAGCAGCTATGAACAAAAAAGGAAACGCTCCAAAAGCAGCTCCAGTGCAGCAGAGGGGACAGGTGTGTTTCGACCAGCACTCCATTTCTCATCTTGTTAACTCTCTAATAAGATTGAGATGAGATTTCAAATGAAACAAGGTAGGATGGAGGGAGAGTTAGGTGGTGATAGATGGAAACAGATGAAGGTGAGGTGTTAGAGCCGCGGTGCATTGAGAAAACAGAATGAGGCTTATATCCCAGACATTATGTCTTTGTTTCGCAATTCTGGGTTTGTCAGTTGCCAAAACAAGCATGTTGACACCAGGCCCAAGAAAATAGTTTGTTTTTGTTTGTATTAGGAAAAGCCAAGGAAAGCCAAACATTTCGTAAACCCAGGGGTTGATGAAATGTTTGGCATAATCTCTTGCAATAAAGGGAGGTTGCACCTAAAACATACAATGACACACACACACATATATATATATATATATATATATACCTTTGAGTCTAAATACATAACTTGGAAGTATTGTAGCACTGTTATTTGCAGCTGGTGCATGGTGTTTTGGCTAATCTGTACAAGATTATACGCAACCCATGTAACTAACAACAAGAGCCAGGAGGCGTCTTCCCCAGCACAGCTATCTGTTTCATAGCAACAGCATGGAAGGCCTGGGGTTTCAAGCATTTACTTGCATGAAAAACATGAATATCAGTGATTGTACCTTTCAGATAAAGTATTGCATGAAAATCTTTAAATCCAAGGTATGAAATTAAAAGTAGTTCCTTCAAGAAAAATAGATTAGATGTTAGGAATTTATTTAATTTAATCCTCCATACTTGACACGTTGAACTTGCACGTGCAACATCAACGTCCACATCTGCAGTGTAATCAAAGATGACGGCAAATGTTTTAGTGGAGGTAGATGGACAATGGGAGGGGATTTGATGGCAGGCTTACAAAGTCGAAGTTGAATTGGTGTGGACTTCTCCTCCTCATTTGTCTCAATGAATGCCCCAGACACACAGATTAAGGTTAGTTTAACCAGCTGACGGCTTGATGAATGTTGTGCCAATTATCCTGTAGCAGAAGCATTCGGCTATGAAATGATGGGCCCTGTTGCAAGATCTGCTGCATGCTCTCTATTTAGCTTGCATTCCTGTGGATGCTGGCAAGGCAAGCATATTTTTATATACTTAGCCCCCGAATTTTGCTTACTTTGTAAAGTGTTCCAACTAAAAAACACCCAAACATTAATTTTAAGAAACATGTGGTGAAGCTAAAGGTTAAACAAATGTTTTGCTCAGTGGGGAAAATCAGACATAGGTCAAATAACATGCTTGGACCGCTTTTTAAATTTTGTTTATAGGTAAGAAAATGAATGCATCAAGCTCTTGTGACTCTTCTTATGTCATAGGTATATTGAATGAATATCCAGTGTAGTGTCTTATTGCAGTTCTCCCATAAAATTTAATTAAAA